GAATGGCGGGCACTGGTATGGGGCTTGTTTGTCTCTGCTCGTGGGAGAGCGGTGCCGCAGCGGCTACTGCACCGCACTACGAACCTGGCGACCCGAGTTGGATTTCCACTCGTGGCCAATAACAGAGGTGAATATTTGAACCGGTCCTGGTTCTCCCCTAGGTCGACTCGGCCTTAACGATGCGTACCTGGTGCAGTATGCAAACATCAGCACTGGGGAGTTGGCCTTCAATTGCTCGTGCCGTGCCAGCCTTCATTGGTGCTCACTAACAGCGCTTGCCCCGACAGTCTGTTAAAGGCCATACGGGGGATCTTTGCCTTTGTCTCTGCTCAAATGGGAATTGGGAGGTGCATTCCACTGTTATTACCGCAGAACCAATAGTGGAAATTCCACATTCCTATAGCAGTGCGATTGACTGCCCAGGACAAATCATGTTGACTTAATGCAAAGTTGTCGCTTGTTAGGGTGCGCACTACAGAGTCAACGGTGGAAATTCCACATTACAATGACAGTGCCGTTCACTGTCTAGGACAAATCCTGTTGACTTTATGCAAAGTTGTCGCTTTGCAAGCAAACTCACGGTTCTTCTCGCTCTTCGGTCGGACTGTCTGTGCTTGTAAGCACGCAGTCGCCTTTCCCAGCGCCTGCTCGAGTACGCGTGAACTCGGGACACTTTAGATTACTGGCGGTCACCTGCTCGGTGCAGTGTTTGTGCAGCCATCCACATAATGAGGTCATTATTCTACGTCGTTAGTTATGAGAGGCTTTGCGACTGGCCAGCAGTCACAGGGTTGAGAGTTCACATTGCATGGAGGCAAGGGAGGTAGCCGCCTCGGAAGGAAAGCACATTAGGGCATGGAGGATGCAGTGGCGCAGTGGTTAGCGCGCACAGCCATGCGGACCCAAGCGACTGAGTTTGATTCCTGCCCATGGCTGATAATCAGTTTGTGAGTGAAATCTGAGTCGGGTACGCCACGGTGGCAAGACGTGGGTTCGATCCCGACCCTGACACCTGCTGTATATTTGCAGTTTGTATGTCTCTCTCCCCGTGGTGGCGTGGTTCTCCGGTTTTTCCCTCCACATTTAGAAATATGCATTTAGAGTATTTGGCTTCTGTAAATTTCCACATGATAAGCCACTTCGTTGAGCTATCATTTGTGGCCAGGTCGCTTCTGAAAGAGAGCTATGTAACTCAGTGGTAAAATAAAAAATAGTTTAGTTTACAATAGGTTCTGGGTCTCCCCCTTCACCAACCCGCACTGATCATCGCTGTGAAGTATGGACAAATCAACCCCAATGACTGACACAGTGTGGGTCAGCGTTCATCCAGCAGTGGATTAAAAATGTTTAATTATTATGATTTTTGTTTTAAATTCCATCACTCAGGATCGATTAATTACTGGATGAAGGAAAGCTTCAAGCTGCAAATTATATGTATTCTTTATTAGAACGTGAACTTTGCTGGATTGACTACGAATTGTAAATAATTGTACCGAGCTTTTGCCACATACGCCACTTGTGTGTGATGCTTTGCAGCTTTCGAAACCCTTATGCCATTTACCGATCCTGCGTGTATGTAACTTGAGCTTGGTGGTTACACGGCGGAGCGCCTGCCTGCCTGACAATCAAGAGGTTACAAAGCCCATTCAGGCCTCGACTCATCCCATCATCCCACTGAGCCTGATTTTAAAAAAGTACCACTTTACCGGAAGTCAGCAGTAGTTTTCTGATTGAAAGAATGGTAACTTGTCATAGCAATGCGGAATGTCCACCTACAGTATGGAGATGAGAACTACCCAATGCTTGTTTGAATTAGAGGACTTGAACTAAACATAGCGGTCACGGTTGTAGATGTGGAAAATTGCGAGTACATCACCTTGATACGAGGAGGTGCCATTTCACATTGGGTTGGCGATTTTACGATGGCGTGTTGCTAAAGGGGATAGTGTTCTCCGTGCATTTATCTCAATACTAAGCAAAGCAGCAAAAGAAATGCCAACGTCCTTGTGTATCTTAATGTCAAAGGGGCACTTCATCAAACAAATCAAATATATTTTTAAAAAGACAGACCACGTAGAAAATGTCACACGGTTTATTATTGCTGGTCGTCCAAGCGGCACGGATCCTCATGAAGCAGAAAACGAATTGGACCGGTGCATACGATGTTTGTGGTGGGAAGGCGCCCCCACACACGTTGCGATGCTTACTGGTTATGTGGTAGCAGAAGGCGATCGCGTCAGCCGTGAGTCCACAGCTGCGCTTGCGTCTTCAAAACGTGGCCGTACGTGCCTTCTGTTGCCTTTGGCACGGGATTGACAGCCGGGGTTTGGCAATGTTTGAGCAACGGTGGACGTTCCATCGGCGAGATGCATGTTTCGGAAGCGTGCGTGCATGTGTGCTGAGGCCCATCTTTTTACACAGATCATTTACGAGCATCCGTGAGTGGAGATGTGTCGCTACAGAAAAAAAACTTTATTTTAAAGTGATGTGAATGTGTAGTGACAGCAGCGCAGAGCTGTATGAAGCGCTGAGTGGTATTAGAAATGTCTGTGTGCAGCCAGACCTTTTGGAGGAGAAAGGAATTCATCCAAAATTGAATTCAGGTCGAATCTATAACAAACTTGCCAGCTCATGATTGGCTACTCAAGATCACGTGATGGGACATGTTAATATCAGACCCTATACCAATATAGTGGTCACTTTTTCTCCTTCAATTCAACCACATTTTTTAAATTGTATTTCTCTGGTTTTAATATTCGTATAAAAATCACATTTTATTGGATTGTTTTAATAATGATGATAATCTATTAGTTCACCCTTTCCCATTCTGAGACGACTGCAAGTTGCAGGGTGGGTCCCGTTCACCGTTAAATATGGGAACGCGCAAGCGGTTCACCGTTAATTTTATTTCGATAGGCGTAGCGCCGTTGTTTTTAGAGACATTGTACTCACCGCGGATAACTGTAGCTACACGACCGCACTATGCCACACGCCCCTCCCGCATGGCCTTGTGGGAGCCTCGGTACCGATAAAGTAATTTTATTCCAGTTTTTCTGAAGATATACACAGACGTCATCGGAACGAGAAAGGGTTAAGAGGTGCTTGCTATGAGTCAGCTGAACCCCGTATATTTCGCGCGGGATCTGTTGAAAGTCTTCAGCATCCAAGGAGTTTTAGTAAGCCTGTAAATAACATGTAATCTGTACTGCTGCAAATGAAAGCCATCCAAGGCATCAAATAAAAGAGGATTTGTATTTACTGGAAATGCAATTATTCCAAGGTCAATAGAATGAGTACCACTTTGTGATGTGTCAACAGTTGCCCTTTACTGGAGACACTGGTCCCTTCCATGGGAATGTGGAATTGACATCTTGAGCTCAGGGACACCACGGTAGATGAGCACCCGCACCTTTGATCACTCGAATCGTTTGTCAAGGATGCACATTTTGACCGGAGCATCTATTTCCCACGTACATTTAGAGTTTCACAGTCATAAGTCTTTGTCGAAACTATTTACTCCACAGGGTGATCCATTTATAGGCACCCCACTAAAATAACAGATCGACATCATAGCCTCGACACATCTCCCTCCAATCTCAATATGCTAATTAAATATATTTAAGCACTCTCCTTATCTACACGTCCAACATATGGCCAGTTAGCCATACGCTGGCCACAGTGTTGAGAAGCTACAGGGTCATTATAAATCAGCGGGGCTGTCTACAAATGCTGTTGTCATATATGGGGCGGAGTGCACAGTACCCTGCCCCAGTGGCCCGGAGAGAATTGAACGTAAGGCATTTGAGGTTGATTGATGATTCAGCACTCAGTCATTCACTCCAGTCACCGCTCACCGGCAGTCAGTTGCCTGCTTATCACTTTTCTATCGCTACGACTCCTACTCCTACTACAATGGGTACGGTGTCCATGAACTTAACTCATTGATTCCTCCACGTGTGTTGAGGACTCGATCTCGTGGCGAGATGTTACCTATCTTGCCTGGTATGCAGGATGACATGGGTTCGATCAGACCCTTACGCCTGTATATTTGGAGGTTGTGTGTCATTCTCCCCATGGTCGCGTGGATTTTTCTTTGGGTCCTCCGGTTTTTCCCTCAAATAATAATAAACACGCGTTTAGAGTATTTGGATGCTATAAATTTCCCACGTGAGAAGCCACTTAATTGGGCTATCATTTGTGGCCAGGTCGTTTCTGACAAGCAACTACATAGCTCAGTGGGCCTTTCCCTGGTAATCTCAGTGCAGTGATGCGGCCCAGCGGCTGTGCGTTCGCCGCTTGTAGTTGCAGAGGTTCGTGGTTAGAATCCAGCGGCCTCCCTGGTTATCACTACCGGTTCAATTATCGTGGCCATACAAAACACCGTCCGCCTCACATTGGACGTTGAAGATCCCCTGTTGTCAGTCGCAAGAGGAGGTCACTGTGTTCCTGGAGTCCACATTTGCTAAATTCGAAAAATTACACCACAAATGACTAAATTGGGATTACATGCGGCAATCATCGCCCCCCCCCCCCCCCCGCCCGCCCCTTCTGGCAGCCTAATCCCCAATTGCAGGCAAAGTGCTGAGTGACTTTGTGCCCACCGGGACAACAGCCGCTGGGGGTGCCCTCTCAAATGTGTTGAGGTGAGATGTGATGCAAGACGCTTGTCGCGTGTACAGCGCTCCGAGATACCCCTCGTCTCTTTCAAAAAAAGTCAACAAAGTTACTATCATACGCAAGAACAGGCCATATGTCTCTGTGTGCAGACACTCTACCAGAGACAAATGGCCTGTGGGGAGCGGTAGTGTAGTGGTTAGCGAGCTGCGCTACGAACCCGGCGACCCGAGTTCGATTTCTGCTCATGGCCTCTCCTAGGTCGACCCAGCCTAAAACGAGTACCTTTTGTGTTGTGTAAACATCGCCGCTATACGGGGAGGGGATCATTGTTCATGGTACACAGAGCGGCCCGTTAATGTTGCGCCGTGTCCCTGTGCAACCAGGAGCGACCAGCTGTGCGTGGGCGACTACCTGCACTCGGTGAACGGGATCCACGTGTCCCGGCTGCGGCACGAGGAGATCGTGAGTCTCCTGCGCAGCATCGGGGAGCGCGCCCTGCTCGAGGTGGAGTACCCCCTGCCCCCGCCCGGTGAGTGCCCTTCTCGTGGATGTTACCCGAACTTAACATTGGAACCGGTAACCAGTGATACACCTCCGATTAGCACGGTTGGCTATGTACGGTGTGAAAGAAGTTCAATCTACATGCATACGATGCTTCGCAAAGAAAATGGTGATACCAAATTTGGGTTCCCAGTTTTAATCAGTTTACATCCATGAATGTATGTATGTTGAACTTATTTCGCGCCGTACATAGCCCACCGTGCTAACCTATCATCGGCTGTCCTGCCACTGTCCCTCATTAAAAGGCCACGGTAACTTGTAGTTCACTCAAAGTCCAACTGTGCATTCTGGGGTACAAAGCAGTGGGACACAGGCACAGAGACACACATATTTCGAGACAGACACTGGGACACAGGGATGGAGACACAGAGAGATACACATATACACACAGAGTTTGTTTCCATTGGTTAACTGGAACAGACCCGTAAAAGTCGATTACTCGCTGGGTGAGTTACCAAAACCGACTGAGGTGAATCAATCGGTTCGACATCCTGGCTCTGCCGCTCCTCGGTGTAACCGGCTCGCTTTCCACGGTTTTCCGTCATATTGTTTTTGATGATGATTTGTTTCAAATTGAAAGAAAAGAGAACAAAGCTGTGGGGACAGAGAACGACGTGAGGACTGCTCGCTTTCAACATTTGCCAAACCCTCATAGCGGTCGCCATGAAGCTGTCGCGCACGCGAGGCCTTCGTCGTGCGCTTGAGCCGGGTGCTGTGCAGTCACATTGTCAGGGCTCATCATTGTTTCTTTCCCCTGTAGAAATCAGTGAGTGAAAATATTTGGTTTATTGCCGGATTGACGTGATTTCGGCTGTAATTCATACGAGGCAATAGCACGCACACACGTGTTATATCAGACCTCGGCGGCATGAGGTTTTTTTCCCTCCCTGTACGTCAAGGTCAGAGCGTCTCCCTTTCTTTAATGACCAGTGGGGGGTGGTGGCACTCGCCTTTGCTGGGGCGCCCTGAGGGAGCGGTGGGAATGCCCCGCTCCTCTGGTGGGTGCGAGTGTCACTCTGTGTAAAGGGGTGGGTTGGGGAGCCTCGTTATAGTCTGCGATGTCCAGCCAGTTGATCCTGCTGGTAGAGCAAATCGGGCTCACGGTTTCAAAGGTCTCGGTGGCCAATTTTCTGACGGGGTCGATAAAACGGGAACCACTTTGTGGGAAATCGACAGTGGTTGTCCTATGGAGAGACTGGCCCAGCTGGAGGAATGTGGAATTTACACAGCTGCCTTGGGAGTGCTACCTGAGAGGGAATGCCATCCTTAATTCTGGTATAAACATGGAGAAACAGATCATTTCTGAATAACCTTCAATTATCATAATGGCCTTCCAGTATAACATTGTACATGAGCATATATTTTTTACAATACAGCCTTAGAACAGTTTTCACTTCATAAAGCCTCATCAACAAGGTGTGGCCTAGTTGACTGTTAGTATATTAACATCTCGCCACAGTGGCGAGATGTTAACTACCTCGCCTGGTAAACAGGAGGTCGTGGGTTCAATCCCGACCCTGACGCCTCTATACTTGGAGTTTGCATGTTCTCCCCATTGTCGAGTGGATTTTTCTCCAGGTCCTCTGGTTTTTACCTTCACATTTAGAATCAACATCACGCGTTCATAGTATTTGGCTGCTACAAATTTCCACGTGATAATTCGTTGGGCTATCATTTGTGGCCAGGTTGCTTCTGAAAAAGGGCTGTATAGCTCAGTGGGTCTTACCTGGTAAAATAAGAATAGTAATGTTATGTGTGGGTACATGCAGACACCCATGAAACATAGCAATAGTATATTATGGGATCTTCTGATTACTTGCAAAAGGTTTCTATTTGCTGTTTGAACATCTTAGCACCGGTTTTATTGCCAGAAAGGGTAAAACCTATTCTCATTAATATCAATAGTAGCTGACAGCCCATTGTTAATTCACTGCTGTGTGTTTGACCATACTTCACCACACTGGTCAATGCGGATTTGTGTGAAGAGAGGAGGGGCCGAGCACCACTCAGTACCACTTGCCACTGGTAACCTTGGACCGGAATGAAACTCAGGTCACCGGGTGTACTGTATATGCAGTACGCTAACCAGTGCACCACCACTCAACCCCCACCCACAAATAATGTGGGAGACAATAATGGCATTGCAGCAGCACACAGCAAATCTCCCAGGGCTTGTTTCCATGCCCCCCCCCCCCCTTAGCCACTGCGAATTAAATTGTCACGGTTGTGAGGCAGTTTGCCTGAATCTTTCCTCTGGGAGTCGACACTGCTGTAATATTGCGGGGCTCTTAGGATATATTAGGAAACCCGAGGTTGAGTGCAGGCGCTCGAGACTTGTGAAAGTTCCGTGCGGATTCCTCATTATGGATTGCAAATTACTCCAAGGCACAAGTTTTTTTTTATGTTTACTGGACACGGGCGGACGCAAAGGCCTGGAATTCAACATGCCCAGCAACTGTTAGCATTCATGACAGTGTTGCAGATAAGGACCACCGCATTCTTCCGGTTTATGAGATGCTTCGGTAGGTAAGATTTTGGAGAGCACTGTTTTTTTTTATAATTGTGACAGACATATTTTAGAAGATTATCATGAACAACTCGATGAAAACACATCTTCTTGAGGATAATGTATTTTGACGGAGGGTCATCTACTGGTTAGACGATTCTGATCTACGAGAGCAGTCTACTTCATCGCAAGGCCCGCGGGCCACTGGCGGCCCCTTGGTGACCTTTCGTGCGGCCCCTGACGTGCGGCCTCCCACAATACACAAATGGTGAAAACACCCCCCATCATCATCGCGCTGCTGTCAAACTCCAATGGTTTCAAATGTGTGGCGGCTCTCACACTGAGTATGTATTATCAGCAAAAGTGGCCCCCCTCTGAAAATTAGTGAAGAATACTGTACTAGATTTAATTCGGTATTTTAGACAACAATGGATTCTCCAGATCCCCAAAGTTTTCTGTAAAATACAGCCGGAGCATACAGTAACACGTTCCCTGAAATGAGCATGATTATTGTAACTTATGAACTCGTGAAAATAGATGTAGGGAGGGATGTTCCAAAGTTGAAGGAACAGAAACATTGTCCTATAATATGGAGGTTTATTTTATATGTCGGCTTTTATGATCAATATTAGGATTGTTTAATAGTGTATTTGAGGTTAGATCATGTCGGTAGATTACCAGTTGTTTTACTAGAACCCTCCACCACTCGACAGAGCTAATCAAATCAAGTTGTCACATCATGGACAAAAATGGCCAGTTCTGATATGTTTTTTAAGACAACCGGAGGATCGATCCCACGACTTCCTGTATACCAGGTGAGGGAGTTAACATCTCACCACCGACGACCAAGGCACACTAATGCACTGGTAGTTGCATAAGAAGCGGTGCGGGAAAGGGAAGCAGGATGATACATCACGAAGGGCTTCCTTGTTCAGTGTCCATTGTCATGGAAAATGGAGCATGTTGCTGCGTGAATGATACACCTGAAGGAGAGAGGTGTTTGACCGCTGTGAGATAATGCTGAGAGTTACCAACTGGAGAAGTGCTTTCAACTTCTTATGGAGCTTCGACACTGCATCAAGTACATCTCATGGAGTACTGGGTTGATCCGAAATGCGATTTAGTAGTAGGTGAGTACCGGAGTTTTAATCATGGTTCCCAACTGGAAAAAGAAAAAAAAAATCTACCTTGCAGCCAACAATCAACGTATCAGTGGTGTACAGTAGCTTGTTGTGAACTGATCAGGGTATTGAAGTGTCCAAGAGCAAGGGCTTTGGCTCCTGCTTGTTGCAGATGCGCAGCGATCATTGGTGCTACAAGGAGTAAGATGAGAAAGGTGGGGGAAGGGGATGTCTACAGTTGGTGAGCGGAAGACAGAAATCCTCTCGACTCGGGCACCCAAACGACTGGTAGGAGTTCCACGGAGAAGGTAGGGCGCGCTAATTACAGCCGGAGCAGAGACAGCTGGCGAGAGCGCTCTTCCATCTCAATCCAAATTTGATGATACATTGTCGATTCTGTATCACAACCCCAATTGCAATTGACATCATATATCGTCGTCTGTTCACATACATTGCACGATAGTCACCCTATATTTGTGCAATTTGTCGTGTTTTATAGCTTAGATTTGTCCTTTGTGTCGTGTTTAATCTGGAGCTAAATTTTCCCGGAGCTGATTTAAGCTGCGGAGTATTATGTTTGCAATATTTTAAATTCCTCATCACGTTATAATGTTGCGTTTAGTTTTTTTGTGCAATTTTTTTCCAAAAATTACATCCTGATCTTTTGAGTTTTCACTGCCTGGCTAAACAGAATCAACTTCAACTCCAAGCAGGGCAGAGAGACCCTTCAGGATGTTTGCAGCAGGAGTCAGTGGTACTTGTGTATGTAGAGTCTGTTATCCTACAATGCGGTAGCTCCGTTCTTGAGGAACACCGCATTATGGAAAAATCGCGTTATAATAAATAATATAGAGAATAAGAACAAGGACTGGATGGCTGAAATGGCGGGAGATGACTGGTGTGGTGTGCGATAAGAATGTCCCAGTTTGGATGAAGGGAAAAGTGTACAAGACGGTGGTGAGGCCGGTGCTGTTGTATGGGGCCGAGTGCTGGGGCACAAGACAAAGGGAGGACCAAGCTGTGGCAGTCACAGAGATGAGGATGTTGCAGTGGATGTTGGGTTCAACAAGGAAGGACAGGTTGAGAAATGAAGAAGTGAGAGGAAGACTCAAGGTGATAGAAATCACAGAGAAGATGATAGAGAGAAAATGATTGGTGTGGTTCAGTCATGTGGAGAGACAGCAGGAAAATGATGTGGGTCAGACAGTCTGCCTCAGCAGAAGACCATGCTTTCCCACCTGATGATGGACGCTTGTGTTGTGCCCGAAACGTCGTGATTTGTTTAATTTTATACCTACGTGACTTTACCGAAAGAACCAAAGAGTTTGGATTCCTGCAGTC